AGAAAACACTTCTGTATCAGATAAAATTTTTTGGTTGGGAAACTTAACTCAAACTTGCTTAGCAATAGTGGTTCGTGCTGATAAACAATCCAGGGGTGGGTCTTATTTCAAGTACAGTTTGATGCAAGGAGAGGCCTGGCGGCACAGTGGTTAAGAGCTGAGCTGCTAACCAAAAGGTTAGCAGTTCGAATCCACCAGACATTTCTTGGAAACCCTATGGGGAAGTTCTGCTCTGTCTATAGGGTCACTATGAGTCGAAATCGACAAGTTTGGTTTTGGTTTTTTTGATGCAAGGGCTCAAGGTGTGGCAGCAGGGCTAGATATGTCTAGATAGTCTGTTGATCTCTCCTTTTTCTCTCACATTCTGATTCTTCTTGCTTCACTATATTCTTGGTTAGACCAGTAGTCAGACTTCTTTCTTATAAGGCAGCTCTAACTAGCTCTAGATCTCACATTCCAAGTCTGTGGTTCTCCTTCCCAGGATCCCCCTAAGAGCCTCATTGCATCTCCTTGACTCTGGTTGGGTTGTAAACTCATCCCCGAGTCAGTCCTGAGAAATGTTAGAGCAGTGCCGTTAATATGCCATAGAAGGCATGACTTTATCCCCAAAGGCTGTAGATTAATTGAGGAAACAGATCTAGCATGCAGAAACAGTTCAATGTAATTAAATGTTGAAGTGTTTACAGTAAGAGTTTAGAAAAGGAAGGGATTAATGTAGGAAGAAGGGTGCTATCAGCCGTAGAGGTGAATGGTGAAGTTTGGAGTGATTAAACTCCCTGAGGGACTAGGTAAAGAGGAAGAAGATCTGAGGACAGAGATTTGGGACACACTGAGAGTTATAGGTTGAGTAGGAAAAGAGTGGCCTAGTGCAATAAGCAGAAAGGACTTTCAGAGGAAAATTTGTACAGGTATTAATAAATAACTAAGATTTATTGAGTGCTTTTTCTGTACCTTTTAATTTTGTTATAATTTCAAACTTACAAAAATAGTACATGAACTCTCATATATACTTACCTGATTTTTTTTCACCCTAGATTAATTTTGCTTGTTACAGACTTTCATGTAAATGGAATCATACACTATGTACTCTTTTGTGTCTGGATTCTTTCACTGAGTATAACATCTCTGAGATTCATCATACTGTTGCAAGTATTAATAGTTCATTCCTTTTTATTGATGAGCAGTATTCCAATTTGTTTATCCATTTTCTTGTTGATGGACAGGAAATTTGGGTTGTTTTCTGATTTTGGCTATTATGAAAAAAGCTGCTATGAAATTCTTGTAAAAGTCTTTGGTGGCATAAGTTTCCATTTTTTCTTGGCTAAATACCTAGGAATAGAATTGTTGAGTCAAGGATAGGCTTATGTTCAACAGTATAAAAAATCGCTAACTTTTTCCCCGGAGTGATTGTATCTCTTTATACACTTACCAGTAATGTATGAGAGTTCCAGTTGCTCCACATCCTGACCAACATCTGATGTTGTTAGTCTTTTAAACTTTAGACATTTTAGTGTGTAATATTAATATCTCCTTGCCATTATGATACTCAGTAGTGGACCTCAAAGGAGCCCTGGTGGCACAATGACTGAGTAGTCAGCTGCTAACCAAAAGGTCAGTGGTTCGAAATCACCAGCAGCTCTGTGGGAGAAAGACACGGCAGTCTGCTCCTGTAAAGATTACAGTCTAGGAAACCCTATGGCGCAGTTTTACTTTGTCACATGGTGTTGTTATGAGTCGGAATTGACCTGATGACACACAACGACAACAACCGTGGACCTCAGAAGCTCTGCCGCTGCCTGCCCAAGGACTTGGGCCCCGCTGCCACTGTGTTTGTCAGAAGCTAGTTTTTCCATTCTTCTCTGCCTCCTTGTATTGCTCACTCTGACTCCTGGTTTGCATAGATGTCTCTCATTGATGAACTAGGTCATCCATGGCCTAGTTATAGGGAAGTTTGGGAATGTAAGATTGTGAGCATGGGACTTACAGACTGAGACATTACTAAAAGTTGTGGAGAGTCATGAGTGTTTCCCCAGACTATCTTGTCTGTTAACTTGTAGATAGATTTTTCTATATTGGCAGCAATATGAAAACAATGCTTCATGAGAATTTGAATTTATATTATAAACTTTTAACTATTGAATTGTGTCCTCCAAAAAGATATTGAAGTCCTAACCCCCAGTACCTGCGATTGTGATCTTGTTTGGAAATATCATCTTTGAAGATGTTACCAGTTAACATGAGGTTGTATTGGCATGGGGGGTGGTGGTCCTAATCCAATCCGAATGACTCCTTATAAAAAGGGAGAACGGACACAGAGAGACACACAGAAGAAAGACACCATGTGACATTGCAGCTGCAAGCCAAAGAACACCTGGAGTTACCAGAAGCTGGAGAGAGGTTTGCAGCAGATTCTCCCTCAGAGCCTCAGAAGGAATTAACACAGCTGACATCCTTATCTTGGACTACCGGGTTCTAGAACTGTGAGACAATAAATTTCTATTCTTATAAGCCACCTAGTTTGTGGTACTTTGTTGTGGCAGCCCTAGGAAGCTAATACACTGGTATTTAAATTAGTGGATTATTATGTTTTACCTCTACTTGTGTATCTATTTTAATTTACTGTAATGTAGACTATAGATGCAGAACAGGGTTTGATCATGTTTCTGTCACTTACCAGTGGTATGACCTTGGGCAAGTTAACTATGAACCTCTCTGTGCATCAGCTTTCTCACTTGTGAATTCAGAAAACTCCCTGCAGTGAGTAAGCACTTGGCTAACTGAAAGATCAATGGTTCAAAGCCACCAGCTGCTTCGTGGGAAAAAGATGTGGCAGTCTGTCTCCATAAAGATTTAAAGCCTTGGAAACCCTATGGGGCAATTCTATTCTGCCCTCCATGAGTTTTAATCGACTTGACAGCAATGAGTTGGGAATCTTATTCTTTTAAAGGTACCTTTTAAGCTACTATAAGTAAAGTGCTTGGTATATAGTAAGTACTCAAACATATTAACTATTTTATATACACACACTTTCACACAACATTCTGTGTGTAGATTGTTTAAGTGTAGAGAGAGCTAACATTTTTATCTTATCAATATCAGCAGTGACAAAAGGTTGATGGAAAGTACTCTGCCGTTAAGATCCCATGAATGTTCTCAAGTAGAAGACTATTTGGCCATCACAAAATACCAGCAGTCTTTGTTTCTGCAGGGGTGTCACAATTCATTAACTCAGACAATCGTCATTTGGATGTCATCGAACTCTGTGCCATTCGGGTCCCTTTTCTGCAGTGTCCTGTGTACAAACACGGGGAAATGGACTTTGGGCTCTTGGTCTGGCCCCAGGTGGGCCACCAGCACACAGGCTGCCTCCTCACACAGGCCAAGGGTCTCGTGACCGCCCATGGCTGTGTGGTGGTGGCGAGTGGGCAGAGCCGCATCTGGCCACTTGCAGTGTCATTACTGGACCTCCTTGGGGGCTCCACTCACAGACCTGCCCCACACCTCCACCCAGCACTCGGGAGCTCCACTCAGTGCAGAGATGCTGGTGCGGATGTTGACTGGAAGGGTCAGCACGGCTTGACATCCTGTCCTGCACCCAGGAAGCATGGGGAGAGCAGCCGTGCAATCCTGCTAATTACTTGGCAGCCATGAAGGAAATGGGGACTGCTCTGTCCTTGGAATGAACTAAGACTTTGAGGAAATGGCAGCTGGCAGCCTGCGCCAGAAACATCTGCGGGGATCTCATCTCTTGTCTCCAATGGAACTTCTCGCTTAAAGCCAGCAATGGGCACAGGAGGGGCCACATGTGAAGCACTGGCTTTAATCTGTGGCTACACTTCATTGGAGAACACTGTATAGACTTTCTGGAAAGGGCTTTGGCTCCCAAGGCAGCTTAGCTTTGGCTTTATTTTGTCCTGTGAAATAAATATCCTAAGTTCAAAGAGTATTTGCTCTTCTCCACTCTTTTTCATCAGCTTTGCCTTGAAACTTACTCTTCCATTTATTCAGTCTCTCTCTGAAGAAATGTCTGTAGGTGGGAAAGTGCTATTATGCTATTATGCTCATTGGTCACTTTTCAGTATGCATTCAGAAGGGGCCTGTGGAGCTTGTTGGTAGGAGGGAAGACCAGCAGTACTGAGGGTTCTCCCACCACAGCTGACTTGAACTCAGAATGTGTGTGCTATGCACACTGTGAGGGTTCCATTTGTCACAGTGAATTCCATGTCAGTTAGCTCTCAGCTGGTCAGAGGAGTGGCAGGGCCTTTGAGCTCAGACTTCAGAAAGCCTGTGCAAGGATCCTGTCATCTATCCATCCATCCATCCATCCATTCACCC